ACATACACATACACATACACATACACATACACATACACAAACACAAACACATACACATGCACATGCACATGCACATGCACATGTACATGCACATACACCTACACGTACACGCACACGCACACGTACACGTACACGTACACATACACATACACATACGCATACACATACATGCATGCATGTAGACATGCATGCATACATACATAAAACACATGCATGCATCGATAAACATATATATATATATACAATCATAGATCCATGCATAAATACATACATGCGTACGTATAGACGTACATACCTTCATACGTACATACATACATGCAGTCATGCATGCATATATACATATGTACATGAATGTTTGCAGACATGCATGAATACATGCATACATACGTACATACATAAATACATACAAACCTCCATAGGTGCATGCATACATATGTGAATCTATGTATGTATTCATACATGTATGTACATGTATACATATATATAAACATACACGCATGTGTATAGAAACGTCTATATGCATAGTTGTATACATACGCGAATGCATGCATACATGCAAACATACATACGTACATGCATGCATGAATGAATGAATGCATGCACTCATACATACATACACACACATACATACACACATACACACATACATACATACATGCATACATGTGTACATACATACATACATACATACATACATACATACATACCGACATCCGTACATACATACATCCACACATGAATCCATAGAAATATGTGCATACATATGCCTACGTGTATACATACATACCTACATTCATACGCACATGCATTATACATATTCGCATTCATGCACACGTGCATGAATACGTTCGTGCATGGATATATATATATATATATGTATAATTACATGCATGCATGCATGCATGCATTCACACATACATACATAAAACCATAGATATACATGTATATACATGCATACATGCATACATACATACAGTCATACATGCATGTTTGCATGCATACATGCGTACACACAGACACACCTACGCACATACATGCATACATTTACACATGCGTAAATACACGCAAATATACTTACAAGCGTCTATATGTGTATGCATACTGACATACAGACTTGCGTAAATATGTGCATACATACATGCATATGTATATATATGTGTGTGCACACATACATTTATGTATACACACATACATACAAAACATAAACTCGTATATATATATGTGTGCATACATACTTACTTTCTTACATACATATATACATGCATACATACATACGTACCAGCATAGATACATGCATACATGCATGCATGCATGCATACATACATGCATGCATGGATGTATAAATATGGAGAGAGAGAGAGAGAGACAGAAAAAAAAGAGAGAGAGAGAGAGAGAGAGAAAGAGACAGAGAGAGAGACACACACAGTGAGAGAGCGAGAGAGGCAGGCAGACAGACAGACAGGCAGGCAGGCAGACATCAAGACACACAGTAACAGATACGGAGACGGATACTGACAAAATGATGAGGCCGATAGGGCCTGTAAGACAAAACACACACCCTAGCGAACATTACCACTGCTCTACCGTCTCGGAAGCATGACTGAACGCGGGAATGGACTACCTAGGATAGGTTCGCGCGGCGTTGGCGCGCGCAAAGGTTTTCGACACCGCCTCAATCGTTCAACCTTGAATCAATATCGGCCCCAATCGTTCGAAGTTGAATCGAGTCTGGTCCAGTTACGTCACCGCGTCCCTCAGTGCTTCCCCGTCTCAGAATTCAACCTTGTACGCCTTCGCTGGCGTCGCTGGCGCGCCAACGCCGCATAAACCTACCGTAGCGTCTCACAAGAGCCGAGTTTCACTCACACGCGAAAACCACAAACATACCCGCGGCTCCACCAGCTACCAATGCGCTCAAGGAACCCTGACATATGACCAGCCCCTCGTCGTCGTTATCCGCCTCTCTGTACCTTCTCATACTGATTCAATATATCGAGCTGCTGCTCGGCCTACCCCTTCGCTTGACGCCATTACGACACATCAAACCCGCTGGCCTCGCGCGACCCGTCGTATCAGCTAACGGTCAAACGTACTCACCAAAAAACACCTTTGACAACACCGCCACGGAGAGAATAAGGAGGAAGAGGATAAGCAGGGCAAACAGCGAAACGAAGACAGCCGATTCCGAATATGTGTAGCACTGATGCTCGAAACGATGACGAGCCCTTGTGGGCTCCAGAAGCCACATACAAGACAACAATATCCAACATCCTTCAAAGTGTTCCGAGTTTTCAACCATGCCCACCGCAACACAAGTCATCCGTTCCTGTCTTTCCATATATCACGGTGTGTTGCGCATCATCGCCATAACCGAACAATGCTATCACCGTCATAACCCCGAACGGCCTAAGATGCTGCTTGCCTATACGTCTTTCAATGATGCTTGCTTTCCGCGCTCATCGATTGAATGTCGCTCCACCTGCGGCATTCGAAAGCTACAAAAACACACGGAGAGCCCCCTCAAGAGGGCCCCTGGACGCCTGAGAGCCGCAAGCTGGCCCACCTCCTGAGGAGGCCAATACGGCCAAAGGACGCGCCAAAACGGCCCAAGAGGGCCCAAAAGGCTTCAAGACTGCCCCCCTGAGAACCCTCTGACGGCCAACACGACCCAAGACAGCTCAAGAGGACCCCGACAGGGCCAAAAAAGTCCCCCGACGACCAAAGAGGGCCGCCAGGGATCCACCAGACTCATCATCATCATCATCATCATCATCATCATCATCATCATCATCATCATCATCACCACCAAAACCACCACCACCATCATCATCATCAGCATCAGCATCAGCACCAGCATCATCATCATCATCATCATCATCAGCAGCCGCCTCAGCATCAGCATCAGTACCAGCATCAGCATCATCTTCATCGTCATCAGCAGCAGTATCAGCATCATCAGCATCATCATCAGCTGCATCGTCATTGTAATCGTCATCATGTTAATCATCATACTCGTCATCATCAGCATCCTCATCATCGGCATACACAAACAGATATGCATATACATATGCGTATACGTATACGTATCCACTTCTATGTATGCATATAGCAGAAATAAGCACAAACATACACAGATGCATGCATGCAAATGTATATATATATATGATGGCCTCTCTCTCCCTTTATGTGGATAAGAACATGTCGTTAGATGTGTATATATACATATATATACACATACATACATGTATATAAACCTGCATACACTGTATATATATATATATGTATGAATATATACACAGGTGTATATATGTGTGAGTATGCATCCGGTGCCCCAGCAAATCCAACGCCTCCAGGTGCACTCAGCGCGCCCCGCAGTCCGCCACCAGCGAGACGAGGGCTCGCCACGTCCAAGGGCGGGGGAGCCATGGCCGAGCCGTTACGCTATCCGAGTGACGGGGTGCACGGGGAAAGTGACAATTCAAAGCCTCACCTGCGAGGATGACAGAAGCAGTTGGAGGGAGACTTAGGAGACGGGAAGCCGAAGGCGGCTGCGGCGGCCGAGGTGGGATCGGGGAGCGCACAACGGACAGAGGCGGCAGGACGTCAAAGTTCAGGACTTCGTACTTGAGAGGTCCATCTCCTCGGGGAGGCTGCGCCGTATGCGGGCCTTCCCGTAGTCTAACAACCGTTGGAAGGTCATACCAAAAACGAGAGGTCGAGGAAGGCGAGAACTGGGAGTGAGGAAAGAGGTGGAGGAGAGGCAGGTTAATTGCTCAAGTATTGAATGCTTGTGCTGACCAACACCTGCTGAAAATAAGATACAGGCGTTAAACGTAGCGATGGGCTCCACTCCCCACCCCCTCGCCCCTCACCACACCCCACCCCCTCCCTCTCCCCCCACCCCACCCCCGGCCCACCCAGCAAAACGCATTTCGGAGTCACCTCGGAGAGGGCAGAAGGGGAACGTTGAGAGTGCGAGCATGTATGCGTGCGCAACTGGTCAAGATATGCAACAGACGGAAAGGATACGGAGGCGCTGGCAAAGAGAACACGCAAGCAATTGGAATTGCAAACATCTGCTCATGTGAGCCGCGCGGCATAACTTGCCGACAAGCACCAAAATTGCGCACCCAACCGTAGAGAGGCCAGTGAACTTTCTCTATTGCGCTACAGCGCTGGCTCCCACCGACCCTCTGGGCGCGGGAGGTTACGCACTATGGATAGCAGAATCCCAGACCGCTGATTTCGTGATTTGTTCGCAACGTCGACCCCCAGGGGTCTCGATCCCTTCCCTGGAACAGGTTTTTCATCCTGAATCGTTTTTGACGGTCCCGAGACCTGGTGACGCCCCCAGGGGCCGAAAATAGTAAAACCTCCCGTCGTGACTTTGTTCACAACGCGGAGAAGTCTGGGATGCCCCCCCCTTCTTAGGGTTCGGGGGGGATGGCAGTCTTCAAACTCACGTTTTGGACGCGAATCGAAGGGCGGCGGGGGGACGGGGACGCTCTTGGGCGACCTTCACGCGGCCTCGGCGACCCGAAAGCGGAGCGAAGGGGGAGGGGAGCGAGGGGAAAACAGGGGGGCGAAGGGGAGGGGGTCCTCCTCCCTCCTCCTCGTCCTCCTCCTCATCCTCCTCCTCCCCCCCTTCTTCTTTTTATTAGCATTCGTACTATTACGAATAGTATTACTATAAGTAGTAGAATCCTGCTTTATGTTACTAGTAGTATTATTATTATTCGTAAACATTTTAGTATTAGTATTGGTGTGACATGTCTTAGAATCATTATGTGTCTTAGCAGTTTTATTCCTATTAGTTGTCCTAGTATTAATATTCGTATTAGTGTTAGTATTGACATGATTGATGGTCTCAAAAATACGAATATTAGCAGAGTGATATACTTAATAGTATTACTAGTACTCTTATAATTCGGCAAATTGTTCCTAGTAGTATAAGTATTATCCGTACTCTTGTCATTATGATTACTCGTAGTTCTAGAAAAATATATTAGTGATAGTAATGTTGTTATTGTTATTAGTATTGGTGATAATATCATTGCTCTTATTACCATTAGTATTAGTTGAATTATGTTTCTTCGTCTTACTAGTCTTATTATGATTATCATTATTATTATTCCTCCTCCACCTCCTCTTCCTCCTGATATTCCTCCTCCTCGTCCTCGCCCTCCTCCTCCTCATCATCATCATCACCAGCATCATCATCATCATCATCAGCAGAATCAGCATCATCACCATCATCATCAACAGCAGCAGCATCAGCATCATCATCATGAGCATCATCATCATCCTCGTCATCCTCATCATCATCTTCATCAGCAGCAGCATCATCATCATCATTATCTGATTCCTCCCTTTCCTCTTCGTCCTCCTCCTCCTCTTCCTCCACCTCGTCGTCTTCGTCCTTCTCCTCTTCGTCCTCCTCATCATCATCACCCTCTCCCTCCTCCTCCTCCGCGTCTTCCTCCTCTTCCGCCTCCTCCTCCTCCTCCTCCTCCTCCTCCTCCTCCTCTTCCTCTTCCTCCTCCTCGTCCTCCTCCTCCACCTCCTCCGCTGCCTCCTCCTCCTCCTCCTCCTCCTCCTCCTCCTCCTCCTCCTCCTCCTCCTCCTCCTCCCCCTCCCTCTCAGCTTTCTCTTCTTCCTCCTCCTCCTCCTCCATTTCCTCTCCATCCTCTTCTTGCTCCCCCACCTCCTCCTCTTCTCCTCCTCCTCCCCCTCTCTCCTCCTCCTCCCTCCTCCTTCCTCCTCCTCCTCCTCCTCCTCTCTCCTCCCTCCTCCTCCTCCTCCTCCTCCTCCTCCTCCTCCTCCTCCTCCTCCTCCTCCTCCTCCTCCTCCTCCTCCTCCTCCTCCTCCTCCTCCTCCTCCTCCTCCTCCTCCTCCTCCTCCTCCTCCTCCTCCTCCTCCTCCTCCTCCTCCTCCTCCTCCTCCTCCTCCTCCTCCTCCTCCTCCTCCTCCTCCTCCTCCTCCTCCTCCTCCTCCCCCTCCCCCTCCCCCTCCTCCTCCAGTAAGTACCTCAAGTGTCGGTGAAATGGAACTGGAACTGTTCCGGTTCCGGTTCCGGTTCCAGTTCCAGTTCGCCTCCAGCCGGGAGGGGTGTTTCCAGCCGGGCGCGGGGTCGGTGAACTGGAAATTCCGGTTCCGGTTTTGTTTCCGCTTGCGGTTCTGGTTCCTGTTCCGGTTCCGGTCCTGGTATCGGTTCCGGATCTGGTTCGCCTCCAACTGGGAAGGGGGTGGGGGGGCGTTCCGGTTCCGGTTCCGGTTGTGGGTTTTCAGCCGAGCGTGAGGTGGGTGAACAGGAACTGAACTGGAGATGGACCAGGAATTGGAACTAGAACTGTTCCGGTTCCGCTTCCACTTCCAATTCCGGTTCCGGTTTCGGTTCCGATTCCGGTTCGCCTCCAGCCGGGACGGGGCTCGGACGAGGGAGGGTCCGTTCTGGTTCTGGTTATGGTTCCGGGTTTCCACCCGTGCGCGAGGTCGGTGAACTGGAACTGGAACTGGAACTGTTCCGTTTCTGGTTTCTTTCCCGTTCTGGTTCCAGTTCCGGTGCCGGGTTTCCAGCTGGGCGTGAGGTCGGTGAACTGGAACTGTAACTGGAACTGTTCCGGTTCCGGTTCCACTTCGGGTTCCAATTCGGGTTTTGGTTATGGTTCCGCCTCGCCTCCTGCCAGGATCTCGAGAGGGAAGTGCGTTCCGGTTCCAGTTCCGGTTCCGGGCTTCCAGCCGGGCGCGAGTTCTGGTTCCAGTTCGGGTTCCGGTTCTGGTTCCGCCTCGCCGCCAGCCAGGAGGGGGGGGCGTTCTGGTTTTGGTTCCGATTGCAAACTTCCAGCCGGGCGTGAGGTCGGTAACCTGGAACTGGAATTGAAACTGAAACTGGAAATAGAACGGCGAGACAACGACTCCAAGCGGCAAGCATTTGCCTGTCAGGAACGGCAAGATACTGACCAAACGCAGTACAATCACCCCACCGCATCCTTCAGTCTTCACAGAGCCCCACGGCATCAAAACACAGAACCAAAAATTATCCATGAATGGCATGCGAGCGCGGCAATGCCGCATTCCGCGCGCGCGCGAGGGTACGGTTTCATAGGAATGTGCTTCACAGTTCCCTGCTTGTCCACAGCTCGAGGTCGCTTCGATACTGCAGACTAGCGCTCGTGATCACTCCCTTCGAACAGTGTGCTTCCCAGCTCTGTAGCTTGCCCACAGCTCAACTTGAATAGAGACAACCAACACCACCTGTCTGGAGAATGCAGAGCACTGATGCTTTGTTCGTCGCAGTTCGGTAGCAAACCGATCTGAGCCATCTAAATGTTTTGTTTAACTAGCGCTTCTCAGAATTTCCTGTCCTTTGGTGTATATCTCAGCTCCGCATCTAGCTTACACCTCGAAAGTGCAGACAAGAAACAGGATATTTCGCAACAAGTTACAGAGTGCAACTGATTGGTCAGTTGTAGCTCTGGTAGCATACTAATCTCATACGTCTCGATATTTTAAGGGACTTTGTCTGATAGTTTCCTGTTGAGCAGTCTTTCCAGCTCCCTGGATTTCCAATAACTCGAATCAATACAGAGATCTAAAACCGCCTCTCGTGAAAATGACTGAATGCAAATTGTTACTTGGTCGGGGCCCTCGTAGCTGATCAATCCAAGGCGTCTACTTACTGTAGGTTGGTGAGTTTCCGCATTTTCTGTCGACTGGTGTACATGTCAGCTCCGTAGCTGACCTCTATCTCGAATTCAATTACAGAAACGGAATCATCTCTCATAGAATATGACAGTACGAATGTATTTTTTGGAATCGCAACTGGGAACCGGCGGCGAAAGTCAACCTTGGTTTTTGTTGCGCATTGCGCGTCGCCACGGCAGGGTCGGGAAACCGCCCAGGCGAGAGCCACACACAAGGAGGCCTAATAGCCCGCCAAACGCAGGCACTCCTCCACTCCCAAAAGGAGTTGTCGGGCGGACTCTAACTCGGCAGCTGTAATCGTGCTCGAGGGGGGAAGAAGGAAGGTGGATGAGGCCACATTGGACCCCCACACCCCACTAGGGAAAATCACAGGATAACTGTCATCAGATGAGGAGCACACACGAACATCAATCTGCCAGCCGCAGCCAACGCCCAGATAGGATCTGCCGCCATCGAAGCTCCCCCGAATGGCGTCGATTAGAACACTATTTGCTTGAATGAGAGACACAAAGTCATGCCTAAAACGTGTTTGACAAATGCCTTGCCGAGCTCTGTGTGTCAACTCATCCGCAGCTGCATTGTCTTCTCTATACACCCACCTGAAGATGCGCTGCCCAGGAGAGGCCGCCTGCACACCACAAATCTTAAATAAACTGTCTAATGTATTCTGAATGCTACCCACAATTCTGTCATCATTAACATTAGCAGTATAGCAAATGCCTTGAATCCACCGCACAACACACTGAGAATAACCCTTCAGTTCGACGGCGAGCTTACCTGCCTGGAAC